CTATGTTTATACATCTAATAATTAATAGTTCAAACTCCCAATTTGCTAACGAATTATGTATTAAAATTTGTTAGCATTAAATACGAATTTTTCAAAATATTCGAAACAATAAATCTAAATAGTAATTGATTTGACCAAAAAAAATATAGTAATTGATTATTTCAAAAAGATGTCAAGACCATCTTTTTAGTTTCAAATATTTTTTCTGTTTTAGAAGCAAACATTAAAAAGATTTCCTATATTTAGATAAATTAAAATTTGGTGTAGAAGAATATGTCAAATTATCACATACGGATATGGTAGAGATGAATTGTATATAATAATCTGGCTATTGAGATCAACGATAGTATCCAAGCTTGAAAAACTAATCACATTTAAAAGTAAACATTATAAAAAAAAATTAATTCATCAATATTTTTCTGTCTATTTTTACCTTGAGATAATACCTAAAAGATTAGTTTTCACCTCAAGGAGTGTAACAAATAGTAAGAAGAAGTGACTTTGATCAAACTAATTGTCTTACGGGAAAGTCTGTGAAGTGGACAAATGGTTTTGTCTTCTGAAAAATCATAGACAGTTGGCAAGATTACGACATAAACAAAAAGATCACTCTTTGGTCTTAAACTTCATTCCAAGAAGTTCCAAGTACTCACAATCACTTTTAATCTTAGCTATATTTTTGTGGGATTCCTCTTCTTTCTTATCATCACCAAAATATTACATCTATAATATTGATTTCTTACATACATATAACTTTAAAATAAACAATCATGTACATTTAATTTTTATAAATGATAAAATCAAAATATTAAACACCAAAATTCTTTATTCTTTAAAATTTATATCCGCACACGGTGCGGATCCATCACCTAGTTTGAAGTAAAAAATAATCAATTGTCGTGAAAAAATCTTTTAGTAAGAGTAGTGTTCTAAAATGCTAAACAATGACCAACTTTTTTTTTTTGCTAAACAATGACGCAACCATTGAATGAACATGTTTTATGAAGTTTCTTTGTGTTGGTCAATTTTGGGCATGTGGCTCAGAGTCTCCTTATGACAGGGACCAATGCAGAGTAAATTATTCATGTTATGGCTGCTGGTAATTTGGTAACAACTACCTGTAAACGGAATCTAGAGAAAATTGATTTTAATCTTAGGTTTACCATTTTAGTAGAAGAGGTAAGACACTTTTTAACAAGATTCCCTGTATCTTAATGCTTGAATGGAGCCAACAACAACCGTAGTAGATAGATTCTTAGTAAACCCTTCTTCTTGAAGAGAAGAATTTATGTTCGTAAATAGTAATTGGTAACCACAGCCAAATGCACAAAAAGCAAGTAGTAAGTGGAACTTTCCCAAGAAAATGGTGAAGAAAAGAGTTTAAAAGATGGACCACTACTTGTCCCTAACTCTAATACATATACAAAAGAGTCGTCCTTTTCCCCAAATTTAAAGACCCAATATACATATAAAAGCTTTACCAGAACCGGTTTTTTCGCCTTTTTTCTTCTTTCAACGCACATGGCAATCGTAAGGAGAAGACGCAAACGCTTGATCTGGAACCACCAGTGGTAACTTCTCAATGTAAACAAACAACCGTTTCTGATTCTCTCTCGCGATTGCAGAGAGATTCACTGTATCGGTTTTCTCCAAGAACATCCAGAGATCACCCGAATCGACTCTTTTAAGGCTGTCTCTGCAGAAAGGGCATGACTGTGACCTCCCTCGCCTAACAAAAACATTACCTTTTCTCAGAAAACCGGTTAAACATTCGACACTTTTTTTTTTGGTCAACATTCGACACTTTAAGAAAGCTTTTCAGTGACTTACCAATCGCGATAACATTTGATGCACAAATAATGGGCACAGTTGGGCAACACGACCATGCTGTTCATCTCCATACAGATTCCACATTCCTCTTCCCTCTCAATCTCAATCTCCGAGAGCTCACACTTTTCGGTTTCATCTTTCTTTCTGTACCGCAAATCGCAGACCTCTTTTTGTTTGCGGTCTTCGAGGTCTGTAATTCCCCTTTGTAGTTGCATCAACGACGGGAATATCACAGCTAAGAATTACCAAAACAGCAAAACACATAAGCGCAAACATCATCACCAGAGATTATATCAGTGCAAAACAAAACACATACCGTAGAACTCTCTAATACTGGCTTTTCTTTCGTAAACCGACATTGTCGTTTTTCCGTCAGCATAAGTCTGAACCAAATGTAATATAACTCAACAGGTTAATCAAAACATACACCAAGAAAAGTATGGTGAATGTAGTGAAACCAAAGAGGAAAAGTACCATATAGATAAGAACTCTGAGCAAACCGAGGGTGCCAGCGAGTTGACAATCAGTCCATTGTACAAGGAAAAGAAAAAACTGAGCAGCTGGGCTGTACGATAATCTCATCTGAACACGCGCTCCATCCTTCTCCCGAGGAATATCTAAAGCTCTGTTATTCATTTAGAGAAGATAAAAACAACAAAAGTTCAACAGCAACGATAAAACAGACTTTTTTCTGTCTAGGCATCAAAAGATTCAAACAGCAAATGTAGCTCGGGAATTGATCGGTTCAAGTATCCATAGAAGTCACAAACTGACAAAGCTTTAACATTGATAAAAGATCAATAACGCAATCACAGAAACAAAAAGCTCTTGCAGCTTCAACACTAGCAGCCTAAATATTGATCTGTTTAATTAGTGATACAGCTAAAGCAGCAGCATAAGAAGCCACTTGATTTTTTCAGCTTCAAGTCAACTAGTTAAGAAACAAGAATCAATTGAGGTCATTACGAGCTTAACTTTCCACTACCTGTACTAAAAACAGTTCGAGCCAACTACATAAAACCCAAACTCAGTGATCAATTTCTCAATTCTTGTGCACATATACACCAAAAGAACAACCTCAAAAACCCCACTAGTGGACTTCTGAGAATCAAACTATAGAACCTGAAAGAAATTTTCACAGATATCACTGCAAACAAAAAGCAACCTTTCTATTCTCTTACATG